TACCTCTCTCTCTCTCTCTCGGTACACGGTAGGATGGTGATTGAAACTATTAGGGCATCTGCGCTTTTATGCTGGCCTGTGCCAGTGGCGCCGTCGACGCTGTCCGCTTTCTTCTCGACCAGCCGCGTCTTCGCGTCAACCAAGTCGATGCGGTATGTCTGCTGCCATTGCATCCTTCTAGTACAATGGATTCGAGAGCAGCATGATTGTCCTAGAACTGCAGTACGGGGTTTCTACAAGCCTGCCGGCGCGGTCAGACTGCGGTCGTCGAGGCGCTGCTATCGCACCCTGCAACGGATCTCAGCGCAACGACGCAGGCATGGACAATATTGCATACTTGTTTACGTGTAGTACGACGATATCGTATGCCAACTAGAACGGCTACTCGGGGCTATTGCTGGCGTCGGACGGGGGGCATACCGACGTTGTCCGGCTGCTCTTGCCACAGTCCGACATCAACCTTGTCGATGCGGTACGACGAATGCGAAAACCTCTATCGAGCCCATACGCCCATGTCTAGAGAGGGGTCTCGGTGCTCATGTATGCTGCGCAGCAAGGCCGGACCGAGATTGTGTCATTGCTCCTCGCCCAACCGGGGCTCGACGTCAACCGCACCGACAGCGTACGCAGAAATCCCTTTGAAGCTGATGGACGACGACATTGTTGTAGACCGGACGATCGGCCTTTCTGCACGCTTGCGAGCAAGGCCACGACGACATTGTCGGCCTCTTCCTCGACCATCCGAACGTAAACGTGCACCAGCGCAGCCATGTACATCAACTCCACAGTCGTTCCAGTGGTCTGAGTGGGAGAGTGAACTGTAGGATGGCTGCTCGGGTGTGGTGCTTGCGTGCGGCGGCGGCTATCTCGGCGTCGTGGATCGCCTTGTGAGTTCTGGCGCGCTCGACGACGTCGCGGCCAAAGTCGAGGTACTCGTACCTTGAAAACAACCCACTTGCTATCGCAGCAGGGGGAGCCGACACCGTGGCTCGCAGCGTGCAAGGGAGGCCACGACACCGTGCTTCGCTATCTTGTTCAAGCACGGCCTACGCTCCATGTCAACGACGTCGATCGGGTCGGTGGCAACGGCATGTAGCAATGTATCAATCGACCTGTAGGACGGCAACTCTGGCTTGGTGCTCGCGAGTGCGCACGGGTATCCCGACACTGTCGACTTCCTCTTGGACCTGCCGCGCATCGACGTCAACCTAGTCAACACGGTAGAGTTGGCCTTTCTTTTTTTGAAAAAAACAATGGGGTCGACTGGTACACGATCGCGTAGATGTTGCAGTCGGCGCTCCATGTCGCGTGTTCGCATGGCCACGCGGCGATCGTTGCGCTGCTTTTGCCGCTCGTGTCGCCCGAGACCCTCAACGCGCCAGACGAAGTCGGTTCTTTTCAGTATATCCTTGCCAGACGTACTATGAGAGGTGTTGGGTAGGATGGCATGACGCCGCTGCTGCTCGCAATTGCCGACGACCATGCTGCTATCGTACTGCAGCTCTTGGCCGAGCCCACGATCGACGTCAACGCGCCTGACGGCGTACAGTACCCCCCGCCTGATAAACGCAGCGGGACAAACTTCGTTTTTTTGTAGGAGGGTCGGACGCCACTCATGGCCGCCAGCCTCTTTGGCCATTGCGAGATCACGCTCGCGTTGCTGCGGCACCCGCACGTGCTTGTCAACGCCCAAGACGAGGTCCGTTCGATGCTGGATTCCGCGTGCCAATGCGATGACAACATGGTATGTTGATTCCGTAGGAAGGGTCGTCAGCGCTGTACTACGCGTCGGCCCTCGGCTTTGTCGATATTGTGGACGCCCTTCTCGACGCGACCAAGGACATTCAAGTCAATGCCACGACACTGGTAGATAGAGGAGGACGCGCAATTTGCTGACATGCGTGGTAGACGGGGATGACGCCGCTCATGGCTGCGATGGACCGTGACCATGACCGCGTCGTTGCGACCTTACTCAAGCACCCTGCTATTGTCGTGCCCGAGGCCAAGCGCGACGCTGCCCACGCCCCGTAAGCTCTGTGAGACAGGACCACTGAGGCAGCAACGGCCTTGCGATGCGAGCGATTGGTTTCCATCATTGCTTTGTTGTAAATGTTGGAGAAACAGCAGATCTGACACGGAGCCAATGAATGCTGCACGGTTGTACAGTGGTCTGTCCATACATTGACAAAAGAGCACATGCTAGTACCGGTAACGTTAGGACACCATGCCATGTCCGCTAGCATCGCTGACGAGTGATGCCACACACTGGACTCTGGCCAGCTTGTCTAACAGTTCGTAAACGTGTACTGCTCTCAGCGCCAACAGTGCAGACAAGACGGCACATGGGAGGACTAGACGAGCGATTGGTTGCTGTTTCTCAACAAGTGGTCTGCGGCACGCGCCTGTCTATGACACCATCGCGATGCACGGAAGATGCTGTGCTGTCCCAGCTGGTGCTGTCCAGCTCCAGTGCGTAAAGACGGCAAAGGTACTTGACTTTGGGGCCCTGTACTACTACCATCCGTAAACCATACCATTGCACACGAGCCTTGGCACCGGTCCATGCAATGTCCATGGTGTCCATCATCGCACTTGGATGATGAGGAGTGTCCAACCATGGTGTCCAACGACCCTGCCAACGACCATCCCGCCTTTCCCACATTGCCCCAATTTTCAACAGCCTACCACCCGGGTCCTACCAAAACAATACCATACAAACATCAAGCTTCTCCAGCCCCGAAATGATAATCAGATGGGTGGGGTACCCTACAAAATCAAGCAGCTGTTGACACGCAGCGAAATGCTGGCGCCGCATTGTTGAACTGTCGGCGCCATCATGAAGCGGACATGGTCGCGCTGCGTGAACGGGCCCTTGGGGCAGCGCGTGACGTTCGCCGGCGTCTGCGCCGCATTGTTGAACTGTCGGCGCCATCATGAAGCGGACCGACATGGTCGCGCTGCGTGAACGGGCCCTTGGGGCAGCGCGTGACGTTCGCCGGCGTCTGCGCCTACGTGCTCGCAGCCACGGCCTTCTTCGTCGTCCACCAGATGTACACGACGCCTGCGCACAGGTATTCGCACCTATCGAGCTCCGATGTCGTCACCACGTATTACTCGATGCGTAGAATTCGGCACGTCGTGGTGGCGGGCCTTACACCGCTGCGGCACGCCACCTGCAACTACCAAACGGCCGCCTTTTCTTCGCGTTACGAAGCGATCTATGCGGCCCCGCCGTCGCCGCCGGCGTCGCTCCAAGCCCTGCGACGGTACGCTTTGACAGCATACAAACCGTCTTGACGCTTTCTTTAATGTAGCCACTCGGACGCGCAGACGCAGCTATCGTGGGCCGACTGTCTGCCCATGCGCACGGTGGTCTGCGGCGTCAACGCGGGCTCGCAAGACTCGCTCTTCACCCAGTCGCCGCCGTGCCGGTCCGCCGTCTTGCACCATCTCGTCGTAGCGACAGCCGCCGTACGTTCCATGCAGATCTTATCCCTTACATATCTCATGCGAATATGCGTGTTGCTAGGCTATCCAGGAGCGTGGCTACAGTGCCATGCCGATTGGTTTCGGGCTCCAGCACCTCTGGGAACACGGCGCACTGCCACCCAACGCCATCAACATTGATGTACGAACGCCCATTACCTACTAGATAGAAGCTGCACATGCTGACACGGTTATCCTGCTCGTAGATGCTTACAGACGACCCGACCGATCTCGCCGCGTGGTTTTGGACCCGCGGCTTTGCCCACTTTGTTGATAAGACGAACGGCCATGCGATCACGTGCATGGCCCCCCACCACACGCTCGCCACCCTTCTCTACGCGGACGAGGGAGCAAGAGCCGTGCCGCCACCGCATTTGCGCTGGTCGACGATGTTGAGCGTCGAAGACGTTTTCACGATTGCACCCGAGAAGGACCATGTCTATTGGCAGTGGCACTTGACGCCGCTCGCTTGCTTGCCATTGTACAACTCGTCGATGCTCGCGCCGTCGTTGCCTGCTTCGTTCTTTACAGCGGGACACAGCGACCAAACAAAGACAGCCAATGTCACGTACCCAAACCCAGAGTGCGAAATCCTGTGTGACCAAGACACGCCAGCCCTTCAACACAATGTCGACGCGAACGTTGCGCGCTGTCCGCTGCGCAACGATGCAGAGTACAACGCGCGGCTCGCCGGGTACTTGCGCCAGCCGCTTCCGCTGCAGCTCTCGCCAGCGCACGCGCCGTACATTGCGCCGTTTAGTGACACGACCAAGCTCCGCGAAGGCAAGCCATGGGAATACTGTCTTCCGATCAGACCGCAGCAGTGTGGCGCCCGGCGCGGTATCAAGACGACGCTCTTTGAGACGCCGCAAAGCAAGCCGTGCCGGTCGGCCGTGCTCCAGATCCTCCTCGAGAACATGCTCGAGGTCATCGATGAGCTGCACCTTCCGTCGTTTGTTTACTTTGGCACGCTCCTCGGTATGCATGCACCGAGAAATATGCGCCAACGTTGACAATATTTGTGTGCTAGGGGCGTGGCGGGACGAGGCCATCATTCCACACACGGCCGACGTCGACGTCGTCCTGCCGTCGTACACGAACTGGACCCACGTCCAGGATGTCATGTGGGCACGTGGCTTTTACGTGTTTGAGCGCGATATCCACGGCGCCTGCGTCGCGTCGCACCACCCGCTCGCGTCATTGCTGTATGCGCCGAATGTAGGTCTTTCAACAAATGACGTGGCAGCGTCTCCATGCGTGCTTTGTATAGCAAACGCGGACCGACTCGTCCATGCACGGCACACCGTATCTGGATCTGTACATGTGGAAAAAAGAGTACGCTGCGTCCACGGCGTTCATCCAGGTCGAGACGGCCAACGCCAAGCTCACCGCGTCCCAAGTGTTTCCGCTGACGTGCAACCACACGATCTTTGGCAGTCCTGTGCCCGGCATCCAGCACCCGGAAGCCATGTTCAAGAGCGAGTACGGCGACACGTACGACGTGGACCCGAATTTGCGCCTCGCAGCGTGCGAGTCGTACTGCGACTACCAGCTCGTTCCAAACAAGAATGCCGCGCGCGCGTAAGTAGGTTAATAGAGAGTTCATTAGGTATGAGATTCACGGCGATCACCATGTCGTGCATGGTGCTTGAAGTCCCATGCGGTAACATACATGGGCATCCAACTTTAAATGGCAGACCGACATCCCATCGTTGCCGTCTTGCGCTTCTAAAGGCGCTTGTGTGGGTTGCGACTCGGACGAGTATGCGAACCCTCAGTCTATACTATAGAGGTAAGGGTTCGACCCCCATTCGATTCACAAACGCGTGGGCTCAGAAAAGAGAAACGACTCGTTCATTGTGAAAAGCAGTACTAGTATGCTCTGACTGACGATAGTTTGCAGAAGCCAACGCTGTGCCCGGTTGTGACTGTGTCCAGTACAATATCTTTCACTACAGAGCTCGCTCGGCGACGCCGCATAGCGTTTCGCGCTCTCCAAAAAGTCGTCTCTAGCACTCTAGTGAGTATGGGCGATTTCGTTTATAAACTTCGTTGGCTCGTTTTCTTGAGGCCGCGCGCCCGCGAGCCTAAAATATGGTTATTGATGGTGTTTATGGCGAACACCAATAATAACAAGTGCGACGCCTCGACAACGACCGCAGGTGTCGTTTCCATGCATGGTCCATAAACATTTAGTACCTCGGTAGTTCTTGTCATCTCGCATCGGTGATGAGTTGTCGGTAGCATGCAATAATGTCTTCGGAACGGGTCGCCGCCGCCGTGCCATATTCGCACGCTGTCCACTGTTGCATCCAAAGGTGCGACTCCACATTCTTTCATGTACTAGCCTACTATTGGAGTTATTGAAATGGACGATGCTACTCGTTCGTGTCTAGCAACTGGTAGTCACAGTACGACTCGCACGACGTCAAGTGCAAGTCGGGGTCCGATGCGTACGTGGTGCCGTACTCACTTCGAAACATGGCTTCGGGAAACTGAATCCCGGGCACATGGTTGCCAAAGATCGTCTCGTGGCACGTGAGCGGAAACATGTGCGCGACATCGAGCTTCTCGAGCGCCGTCTCGACCTTGACCTTGCGCCCGACCTCCTTGCTCCACGAGTACAAGTCCAGGTACGGTGTGCCGTGGTTGTACGTTGACACTTCAACCAGGTCGGTCTACACACACGCAACTTGCATCTCCCGCTGCCACGTCATCCCCGGTACCTTTGGCGCATACAAGAGCGACGCGAGCGGGTGGTGCGACGCGACGCAGGCGCCGTGGATATCACGTTTAAACACGTAAAAGCCGCGTGCCCACATCGCGTCCTGGACTTTAGCCCAGTCGGTGGTCAACGGCAGGACGATATCAATGTCGGGCGTGTGCGGGATGATGGCCTCGTCTCGCCATGCGCCTAGCATAGTGTAGTCCATCAGTCGCCTTGTCGCATAGTTTCTGGGCATTCATACCAAGGAGCGTGCCAAAATAGACAAACGACGGAAGACTGAGCTCCTCGACGACCTCGAGCATGTTTTCCAGCAGCAACTGCAGCACGGCCGACCGGCACGGCTTGCCCTGCGGCGTCTCGAAGAGCGTCGTCTTGAGCCCGCGCCGCGCGCCACACTGCTGCGGTTTCATCGGAAGACAGTACTCCCACGCTTTTCCTTCGCGGAGCTTGGTCGTGTTGCTAAACGGCGCAATGTACGGCAGGTGTGCTTCGTCGAGCTGCAGCGGCAACGGACGGTCCACATACTTGGCCAGTCGCGCGTTGTACTCGGTATCATTGCGCAGCGGACAGTGGGCCACCTCGAACTTGACATCGCGTCGGAACGGCGGAATGTCGTCGTCGCAGAGTGCTTCGCAGTTGGCATTCGGGTACCAGACGTCGAGATCGTCGTGGTGTCGCATGCCTTGCGCCGCCGTAAAGAAGGTCGCGGGGTGCGCCGGCGCCGCAATCGACGCACCGTACAGCGGCAAGCACGACAACGGCGTCAGCTGCGCGCGTCGATATGTATGCTCCGTCTGCGATCCAATGCGCAGCTGGTCGTCGACCGTCTGCAGCGTGGACCAGCGCAAGTGTGGCGGTGTTGCGTCCGTGGTGTTGTCGGCGTAGAGAAGGGTGGCGAGCGTGTGGTGGGGGCCATGCACGTGATCGCATGGCCGTTCGTTGCATCAACAAAGTGGGCAAATCCGCGGGTCCAAAACCACGCGGCGAGATCACTCGAGGCGTCCGTGAGCATCTACATGAAAGCATCGTCTCTGCATGAGCCTGTGGCGATGCCAAGAGGCGTGCGGAAGGTACATCGATCGACGTGGCGTCCGGCAAAAGCGCGCCGTGCTCCCATATGTGTTGCAGTCCCGAGCCGATTGGCAGCGCGGTGTGCCCTCGCTCTTCCATGGCCTATCGCAGACACGACGTGCTTCATTAGGATTTAGATGCTTTCGTTGTAAGATGCAACGTACGGCAGAGGCTGCGACGAGCAGGTGGTGGACGGCCGCGGACCGGCACGGCGGCGACTGCGTGAAAAGCGAGTCTTGCGCGCCGGCGGCAACGCCACAGACGACCGTGTGCATGGGCAGACAGTCGGCCCACGAGCGCGGCGCGAGTGGATCCGAGATGCTATGAAGCCGGAGGAGCTGATCAGTTCGATGCGGTCGCGTTGAAGTCACGTCGTACCGTCGCAGTGCTTGAAGCGACGCTGGCGGCGACGCGGAGATCGCATACAAGGCCTCGTACTGCTTGGCAAAGACATTCGTCTGGTAGCTGCACGCGGCGTGCTTGAGCGCATGGCTCGACACGTGTACGCTGCTGCTGCTGGTCATTAGCCATCCATGGTGGGGCACTCAGTGTACCTGGATGGCATCATGTACTGTCGGTGGAGCAAGAAGACCGTTGTGGCCGCGAGCATGTAGGCGCAAACGCCAGCGAGCGTCAAGCGCTGCGTCATGGGCCCGCTGCACGTGAGCTTCATGGCGCCGAATCGTATCTGCCGCACTTGCGCGTTCCGCACGCTGCCATCTGGTTTTTCGCCTCGCACTGTGTTTTTGTAGGACCCTGTATGGGCGTGGTACATTTTAATGATATAGCACTTTGTATAGAATTTGTTTTGTGTGGACCTGGGTGGTCGTGCAAAAAGGTGGGGGCCTACTTTATAAGAAAGTGGCAACGACCCAGGAAAGGCCAGGTCAACGCATGAGTGTCCACATGCCACGCAGATTGCGATCCTCCCGTACAAACTCGACGACAACGTCCGCTCTGCTCCTGCCAACTCTTGCTACGACACAGTCCCTCTGTCCTTGCCAAGGACAGAGGTGGCGAGGGCTTGGTCGAGCCCTACGAAAAAAGCCTCGTCCGGTGCGTAATGGGATTGGGCTAGACATGCGCTGGATGTCGAGTGCGGTACAGTACATCTAAAAAAGGATGTACTTCTTACTACACATACGGTACAGGATTCTATCATTGTGTATTGCAACGGCTGCGCTAGACGCAGGGTTCGTGGTCAGCAGGTCTAAGACACACTCGAACGGTGGCTTCTCACGCGGGTTCAAATCCTTGTTCTGGCGTCGCAGTGCCATCGGGCCAGAGCGCGCTGCAGGTCATAAACTCAAGAAACGGTTGCGCTACACCCCATGTAGCATAGACATATGCATGAATCCCACCATGGACACTCGACGTTGGACAAGACGCGATCCGTGCAGCGACCCTTGCTTTCATGGACAGGGATAGCTGACAGGGATATGCTCTTCTACTGTACTAGTACTCTGTTTTGTATAACGTTACCTGTAGCTGTCTGTCCTCGACGCCACGAGAAGACCAAGGTGACGAAAGAGTCCGCCTTACGCGCCTCGGCGTCTGCGGGAGCCAACCGGGCATAGCCGTGTCGAGGCTTTTGGTCCACGGCGAGCAAGCAAGTTCAGAGTCGCGACCTCAACATCTGAACACAGGCTCGACCTTACAATTCGCCAACGGAGCTGTGCCTGGCAGCACGATCCCACCAAACTTTCATGTCGTCGGCTAGGGGGCTGTAGTATGGACTGCGCTAACCGGGTCAACGCACCGCTCGCCGGGACCCTTTGCCGCGGTTAGGGGTAGGGTCTTCGACGCACCAAACGGCGCGCTCGCTAGCATCCATTCTCGCCAACGATACATTTGACCATGCATCCAAGCAAGGCCACATGTCCTCTCAAGCTCTCATGGCCTTGGTCCATGGCATATGCGATCTCCACCGTGGGTCCATTCGATTTTCATCGATAACAATATTACATGTATAGTATAAGAGACAACCATGCCAACGTTGCTAATGTCTACTTTTTGCTGGTCACGGTCGCATTGTCCAGTAATTGGTAGTCGCAGTACGCCTCGCACGACGCTAAGTGCAGTCTCGGATCCGTCGCGTACGTCGACCCATACTCGGTCCGGAACATGGCTTCGGGAAACTGAATCCCGGGCACATGGTTGCCAAAGATCGTCTCGTGGCACGTGAGCGGAAACACGTGTGGCACGGGCAGGTCGGCTCGGGCCGTCTCGACGTGGATCTTGCGGTCCTTGACGCGCCGCCACATGTACAAGTCCAAGTACGGAGTTCCGTGCTCCGACTTGGTCGTCGTCACCAGCGTATGCTACACCCGGTGGGCATGACCTTTTCAGAAAACGAAAAACGAAATGACGTACGTTGGGCGCATACAGCAAGGCCGCGAGCGGGTGGTGCGACGCGACGCAGGCGCCGTGGATATCGCGCTCAAACACGTAAAACCCGCGCGCCCACATGACATCCTGGACTTTGGCCCAGTCCGTGTTGGACGGCAGGACGATATCAATGTCGGGCGTGTGCGGGATGATGGCCTCGTCTCGCCACGCGCCTAGCATAGAGTTGTCAGTCGTCGTGTCTCATAGTTCTTGAATATTTATACCGAGGAGCGTGCCAAAATAGACAAACGACGGAAGACTGAGCTCTTCAACGACCTCGAGCATGTTTTCCAGCAGCAGCTGCAGCACGGCCGACCGGCACGGCTTGCTTTGCGGCGTCTCAAAGAGCGTCGTCTTGAGCCCGCGCCGTGCGCCACACTGCTGCGGCTTCATCGGAAGACAGTACTCCCACGGCTGGCCTTCGCGGAGCTTGGTGATGTTGCTAAACGGCGCAATGTACGGCAGGTGTGCTTCGTCGAGCTGCAGCGGCAACGGACGGTCCACATACTTGGCCAGTCGCGCGTTGTACTCGGCGTCGTCGCGCAGTGGACAGTGAGGTACATTGGCCTTGTCATCGCGAAGGCTGTAGAGCACATCTTCGTCACAGAGCGCTTCGCAGTGAGGCCGAGGCCCCTTGACGTCGCCATCGTCGTGGTGCCGCATGCCTTGCGCCGCCGTAAAGAAGGTCGCGGGGTGCGCCGGTGCCGTGATCGACGCATCGTACAGCGGCAAGCACGACAACGGCGTCAGCTGCGCGCGTCGATACACATGCTCCGTCTGCGATCCAACGAGCAGCTTGTCCTTGACCGTCTGCAGCGTCGACCAACGCAAATGCGGTGGCGGCACTGCTCTTGCTCCCTCGTCCGCGTAGAGAAGGGTGGCGAGCGTGTGGTGGGGGGCCATGCACGTGATCGCATGGCCGTTCGTCTTATCAACAAAGTGGGCAAACCCACGGGTCCAAAACCACGCAGTTAGATCACTCGAGGCGTCCGTGAGCATCTACAAAAAGCATCATCCCTCTCATGAGCCTGCGCAGATTCCATCTAGTAGAGTAGGTCATGGGCGGTCGTACATCAATGTTGGTGGCGTTGGGTGGCAGTGCGCCGTGTTCCCAGAGGTGCTGCAGCCCAGAACCAATCGGCATGGCTGCATGGCCTTGGTCTTCGATGGCCTAGCACAGGTATATTCAGATGAGATATGTCAAGTCAGCGATAAGATTTGCATGGAACGCACGGCGGCTGTCGCTACGACGAGATGGTGCAAGACCGCGGACCGGCACGGCGGCGACTGGGTGAAGAGCGAGTCTTGCGAGCCCGCGTTGACGCCGCAGACCACCGTGCGCATGGGCAGACAGTTAGACCACGATAGTTGCGTCTGCGCGTCCGAGTGGCTACAGCGAGCACGATGAGGCATGCGCATGGCCTGTATGGATCGTGTACCGTCGGAGGGCTTGGAGCGACGTCGGCGGGGACGGCGCGCTCGCATAGATCGCTTCGTACTGCTCGGCAAAACCTGTCGTCTGGTAGCTGCAGTCGGCGTGCCGCAGTGGCGTATGGCTCGATGCATGGCTACCGAGGCTGTGACGACCCGTGTTGTTGCTGTTGGAGTACCTGTGACGGGTGGTCGCCGTGTACTGGCGGTGAAGCAAGAAGAAGGCCGTGGCTGCGATCATGTAGGCGCAGACGCCAGCAAGCGTCAAGCGCTGCATCATGGGTCCTCTCAGGAGACGTGGCCACGTGAGCTTCATGGCGCCGACTCTGAAATGCTGCGCCAAGCGTCCTGTTGCGCGTCAACAGCTGGTCGGTCGCCTTTTTTGTGGGCCCCCAGCCATTGGGTCACGTATTTTATTTTAATGGCAATATTTATCACAACGTTTGTATGCTCAATTTATTAGTATTATAATATTGGGTAGGACCCGGGTCCGATTTGTGTTGCTGGACGACCACCACGTGCGTTGGACGGTCGTCTCCGCGGTCACTAAAGTCGGAGGCGGCTACTGCATCCAAGCAGAGACGCAGAGACTGCGTGGTGATAGTACCAAGCACAGTGTCTGTAGAACAGTATGTAATTGTCTTGGTCCAGCGTCGAAACTTTCGACCTCGGCGCCGAGACAACAGCTGGATGAGGTGTAATGGGTCCGCATCGGCTGGCCACACCAACACCGTTGCAAGTTTTCTACGTCCTATATCGTCCACACCATTACGGCTCCACATTAATCTGCACCCTGGAACATGTACGAATTAGTAGTCGGTTGACTCGATGTGCAGCCCGATTCGAAAGCTGTTCTCGCCTCTTCGTTTCGCGATACCGGTAGCTTTCCCACGCATGAAACTGCGCCACCATGCCCCCACGCCCACTCGGAATCGCGTCCACTCATGACTCATGAGTCGCAGCTTTGTCATGAGTCATGACAAGGCTGCGAGACGCTGGGAATATTGTATCGAGTCTTGCCATGTCGCTTCGCCAGCCAGACATAGTACGAAGAGAATGACATCGTCTGTGACGTCTACAGCACGACGAGTGTCCAATGTTGGGGCTTCCGGGTTTGGACAAGCAACAAAACCCCGAGTACGGGTAGCTCTGCTGTAAATGGCACCTTCGGCATGCCCACGATGCCACGTCAGGCGGACGCTTATTCGGATCCGGATAAAGATACGCCGAGCCGCTCGATCTCGGCGATGATCAATCAATGCATCAAACGTGTTGGCGTTGAAATCTAATAAGCAAACACAAACTCCACGAGGTTGCATACATGGCGCCTGAATACTGCGTGGGAGTTGGCACGAGACCTTGGTCGTTGGGGGGAGCTGCGCACGCGATGGTATCTGTTGCACGCGCGTACATGCAACGAGTGCGCTGTCATTTGTCGTGCACGATCCATTGCGATACCTCGACATGTGCACTACTCCTAGTACATCTTATTCGGGACGTGTACGGTGTCAACAACTGTTGAGGCTGCACACGACCTACTAGCGGGGCATGAAAAACGGAGGGCGGCCAAGGAGTGCAAAAGAATCCCCTACCTTCCAGTACCTACATTTAGGCATCACCAACACGGTGACCGAGGTCATGGTCCCCTCGCCCAGGATCAAGCTCGAGCGTGGCCTCGACGAGCGATTCGCCTACGACGAGTGGTGGGTCGGCGCGAGTTTTGATAGAGATAACGCACCGTGACATTTGCACCTCCAGTTGTTTACAAGAGACGTCCAAATGAAACGGCCAATAGATTGATGTACATTCTCTCACCATTTCTGCCATCGCACGACCCGGCTTGGTTGTACAGGAAAAAGCCGCGCAGGTTGTCACCTCGTCCATGTACGAGACGACGCTGGTGCCAGCTATCCCAGTCGTAGGGACGATGTTGGGGCTCGCACGGTTGTAATACCGCTAGTTTGTGACCGAGCACAGCGCATGAATAACGCTACAGGAACTGTCAATGCATTTCAGCCTCTGCGATCATGCGACACATCAATGTACCACCAAGTGAAGGGAACACGACGGGCACGTCTATGGAAGCCACGCGCTTACTCGTATAAAACACACTGTATGGAATG